GACCCGACTGCCGCGTGCCCGGACCTGCTGAGCTGCCGCCGCCGCCGAGTCCAGGTGGGGAGCGGCGCCGGGGCCCGACCCCGTGGGCGCGGAGGGGCGAGGGGCGAATGCCCTTGAGCGGGAGAGAGGTGGCGGCGGGGACTCGAGGCACCGTGCGAGCTGCGCTGCGTCTGGGGCGCTGCAGAAATGCCAGGCTTGTGGGCAGAGGGGACAGGAATGAAAGTGCACGCTACCTCGGTGCAGGGGCTCCGTGGGCAGCCGGGACCAAATCTGTTCCCCTATCCTGCCCCCCAAAATTAACACCCGAAGGGCGAGTATCGGCCTGAGAGGCTGTTTGCATCCTGGCCAGGGCGCGGGTCACCTAGCGACTGAACGCCGAGGGCTCCGGAGGAGGCACTCTTGGCGGAGGCCGAAGTGGGAGGCGGGGACGAGAGGCGGCCTGGCCTGGGCGCGTGGCCGGTCCGGGTCCTGGGGTCCCCTGCCCGGGGACTTCGGCTCCTGGGGCAGGGCAGGACTTGGGTTTGGCGGACCGCAGAGCTGGGGGTCATTCGCACTGCGGGCCCGGGGGCACCGTCTGAGGGGCGAGCGCGCGGCGCCTCCTCCTCCCGTCGGGAAACTCCTCACTTACAGAGCATCCTTCGTTCCTAGGCAGGTAGGACTGAACAGGCGAGCGGAGAGCCACGGCTGGCCGAGTATTAAAAAGCGTAACAGCGAAGTGTGGTGGTGAGGAGGGTGTGCGGTTGTGCTTCCCCTCCCCCCCTCCCCAAGCGTGGGTGCTGGCTTCTCCTACTTACGGTATTTCTGCTCAACCTGTAAGTGGCGAGTCCGGTAACACACCTTATGAATATTTCAGGAACGACCTCGCAGGCTTGGTTGCTTCAGATCAAGTTTAATGAATAGGTTTGTCAGCCTTTCTGCGCTGCACAGGCAGGTAGAAATTCTGTGCCTCAGCTTTCCAAATCTCATCCCTTCCCTGTACCAACTGGGAAAAAGACTCTGCTAACTCTCAGTGAGCTTTAGATTGATACTATAAATTGAGCCTGTCGTTCGGAGAGACGAGTTTTGGGCAGACGTCCAGGCATTGCTCTGCTTCTCTGCAGTGTGTGCGTGTTCTGCCGGGAGCCTGACAAACGTCCTTAACTGGAGCTGCCAAAATGGTGGAAAGCAGGTAGTGTGCTTATGTTGGGATAAACGGCTTCATTCATTATCATCTTATGACACCAGGTAGTTACAGCAGACTTAGTCGTTCTCTGCCTAGAAGTTGAATCTGAGATCGGTCTAGTTGAAATTTTGAGGAAGGCACACGCTTGTATCCCTCTGCACTGGAAGGCAATTATCTCTCCCAAATTCTTTCTGGGAATAAGAAATGAACGTCTTTTCTGTAATCACTGTGAAGAACACTGAAAGAACAGATTAATTGAGGTAGGGAATTCTCAGGATTGGAACAAGCTGTAAGTCATCTTTCCTTATACTTTGGGTTTTAACTTCCATTGCACCATCGCCACTAATCAGGAAACCGACGTTCACAACAGTTCCTACTCTAAAATGGTACTCCTCTGCAGAAGAAAGCTGCTTTCTCCTCCCTTAGTGAGACAGGTGTGTCTCTAAACGACCTGCGAGGGTGTCCTCTGTTGACCAAGATTTCGAGCCTCCGAGATTTGCACGATGCTAAAAGAGGTAACTCTTCTCTTGCCAGCCCATACACGGTGAAGCTGGAGCAGTTTGGTTTATAGATATTTCACATTCAGAGAAGGCTTTTCCAGTAAGGACCCACTGCAATTACATCACCTCTGCTTGCCAGGCTGCTTCTCTCCAGACTTAGTGAAGGCAGTGTGCCTCACTGTGCTTGACTAATGAAGAAAAGGAATCCCCCCAAATGAAAGACTGATTTATTTCTCATATTGTGTTTTAAAAGTTAATTTCTCAAAAAATTTTAATATTCATACATAAAGGCAAGGACTTAACTCAGGCATAGTAATACCTCTGTGAGAATCAGCTCTCTAAAAGATTTAGGGCAACATTACCATATTCTTTGTGCTGAAATTATTGGTACATGGTATTAGAAGGGAATTCTATGAAATTAGCAAAATAAGTAAAAATTTTTTATAATAAACAGCATTTCCTAAAGTATGTTACTGAGATGTTCAGAAAGTAAGCCAGCTGCATTAACAGACATAAAATCTGGCTGATTGAGAAGTTTGCAGATCTTGCATGCAAACCTCCAGGTGCTCTAAAGAAGCATTCTTTGACTTCTCTGAGAATTTTGAGAGTCACTGGTAGAGCTGTCAGATGTAGCAAATAAAAATAATCTCATCACAGTTAAATTTAAATTTCAGATAAACAATGAACCACTGTGTTTAGTATAACTATGTCCCATGCACTATTTGGGACATATTTACACTAAAATTTTTGAATTTGTTGTTCATCTGAAATTCAGTTTTGACGGGGCAGCCTGTCTTTTATCTGGCAACTGTATAGTCACTGGGAATTTCTCATTCCTCTGTTGGGGGGTCGCTATTTTTTGAAAAAATAAAGTGGAGCAGAAGTCATATGCTGTTCTGCAGGCAATCTGGGTCAAGCTCAGTTCTGGTTTCAAGTTGTTGAAAATAACTCAGGCTTGAAAGTGTGTAGTTGCAGTTCAGCACACCCCTGCTTACTAGATTTAGTGAGAGGTGCCAAAAGATACAAAGATAAGTAGGGGACTTGCGGGGTGGGAGCATGGAGCTACATCATAAGATGTGAGACTTACAGGGTCCACTATAGGAACCTGGGAAGGACACTGAATTCTGCTGAGCAGCTCCAGTCAGGGAGTGAGATGACCAGCAGTTTTGACAGGTCTGGCCTTGAATGAGAGAGTGAGATCTTATCCTGGGAGGCAAGGAGGAAAGAAACTCATGGGTTTATACCTAGTAGGGTGGAGCTGGAAGTTGATGGCCTCAGTTGGAGGACAGAGAAGCCTGAGAATGAGGGAAGTGACAAGGGGATTCTAAAGGATGTTAAATAGTTGCTGATGGGAATGGAAGAGGGAGGTGAAAAGGGTCCAGTGCAAGGATTGGTAAATTCTTGGGTGAATTCATCTCACTGCGTTTTAAAATACAGTTGGTCTGCCCTTTGACTAATACCCAAAGGTCACCTTCATTATTCTGCTAGCATCCTGGTTTCCTTAGGTTAAAAAAAAATCATCATCAAACAAGTCTGGAGTAGAATATGTAAAAGTTTTGTTCCTTTTATGAAAAAGACAATACTTAAATGTAATATTTGAGATGCTCATCAATATTCAGTAGCTTTGGCACAAATTCCTGAAATAAGCAGATGTTTTGGTTTTAACAAATCTGTTGCTTCAAATAGGAAACGACAGTAAATTGCAATCATTTTCTGATTTAGTCCAGTTATCTTTAAGGAAGCAGATTCTGATGATGGAAGGAATGTAGATTTTACAGAAATAACACTATGAGAAAATGACCATATGCTTGTAGCACCAGCGAGTATCTATTAAGGATGTTCCAAATGCAGTTAATTACAAAAAACACTTACATTTGTGTTATTGAAGAGCCAGCGGTACTTTCACTGTTGGTCAGCATATGAATTTTCCAGGAAAGTTGAACATCAAACCACTGCAGTCCATGTAGAGAACAGAAAAATCTTCATTTTCTGAAGATTCCAACTTGCCAGTCTCAAGCAAGTGCTGTTGGCATGCCATTGTACATTGTACTTTTGTGAGCAAATCTAGTTATCTCTAGGGACCATCTTCAGAAAAGCCGCATGTGTTTGAGTATCCATGTGTATGGTTAAATTTCCACTTCCTGTTTTACTATAAGTTCTTTAAATAAATTGGGAGGGGTAGTTAGGTTTATTTATTTAAGTTCTTGAAATCATAAGAATTACTCTATGCTAAAATGTACAGTGAAGCAGTTAATTAGGGTCTTTCTTATCGAATGATTATTCCCTAGAATAGAGCAGAAAACAGCTTTCTTCAGGTATTTGTACTGTTCCTCTTTGTAGTGTCTGCCAAATATGTCCTATCTTACAGTGCTGATAGTATATGAGAAAAAAAGTGATCAAGGACATCCTGAAGTTGCTAAAATCTCAAGGCAGTTAGACCACAGTTAATATTTTCAGTGAGATTTCACGTGGATGTGACTTATTAAGAAAACCTTACTGCAGTGGTCTCTAATGACAGCTCATGTGGACTGTCACCCAGAGAGAGCTTTGACAGTGTGCTCAATTCACATTCTAAGTCCTCAGTAAATACTCTGAATTTAAAGAACCCGAAGACAGTACGTTCTTAAGTCCCAGGAGCCTTTAACCCGCCGGCTCACTTACGCTGACCACAAGCAAGTCTTATTTTAAACATCAGTTTCTGTGCTGTAAAGTGGAAGATATGGCATATTAAAAAGAGAATATTGTGTCAACTCCAATCATCTATGTGTATAAAATAAACATTAACTGTTGCTACTGTTTTAAGGGAAGAACAACTTCATTCTCAACGTAATTAGACAATCTGTATATTGTCTGTGTACTCTCTGTGGTGTTTCAGATGCCATAAAAATTCGCAATTTGCTGTGTTTGACTTTTCGCGTTTCTGGTGCAAAGCAAGATGACTGTGGTAAATGCTTAAGGAGAGCTTATTAAGCCCTTTTTAAAAATCAGACTCAAGCAAGCTAATGACTGCAGATTCAAAGGTCTTTACGTAGCAGTTAAACGTGGCTTCCATATGAATTATTGGGATTATTGGGTTTGAATTATTGGGTAATTACAATGCTTGGTGTAAGCGCTTACTTTAGCCACTGTTACTCTCCTTCCTATTTCTCTTGTACAAGTAGACTGTGAAATCTGCCATATGTTTTGAAGCTTTCATTCACAATGAAACTAATAATTTATTTATCCCACAGCTGCCTTTTGGTTTAGCAGATATCACCAATGATACCATAAGCTCTGTTCTCTAAATTTTTTTACGTTACCATTTGGCATTATAAATATTTTAAGTGTGAATCAATCTCTGGAATGAATGTACTATACAAGTACATTTCTTCCTTTTCCTTCAGAAGAAGAAT